CATTTTTCATTAACTGCTAAATTGGCCTCATAATTTTGGAAGCAGGAAGACATTCATTTGTATGCACATAACTTAGAAAAGTGCTAAGATGTGCGTGTTGCCTGAAAGGCAACAATGTACCACAAAGGAATCTCAGTTTGCCGCCACGCTGCTGTTGTGCACAGAACTATAATAGCTACAAGTACAGAAGTCAGCATGATTTGTTTTTTTTATAAGTTAACCCAGATTTAGATGCTTCTTTATCTCCATTCAGTGTGTCTCATTGCAATATAATTCCACATCTGACTGATTAAGTGATAATTACAAAGCGCCAACATATCTAAAGATGATAATTATGTGAGGGAATAGTCTGCTGTGATCTCTGTGGGATGAACTAATGGTCACTGAACATCCAGATCAGCACCCAGGAGTCTGGAGCAAGGTGTTGATTCCGGCACTCTTAATTGTCTGTGGTTCAGGTTTTCATTAATCTGAGACCATGGTAGGAGTATAACAAAGTCACTGTTTGTCCGACCCCTCATCTCAGACCCATCTGGGTCTCTCCAAAACACCCACTGAGGAACCTCCTCACCATAATAAGCAAAAGTATCAATAATAAAATGATAATAGTACAAGTAAAGATGCTGTGATTAAAACTCTACTTATGTGCAACATATTTTCAGCAAAAAGTATCAAAAGTAAAAATGCTTGTTGTGAAGAGAGATGGGTCCTGTGACTGAGATATTATTAAATTGACTTGACTGATGGTGCTGATGCAACAGTTTGTAAGCAGCATTTTTCTGTTGTAACTGGTTGAGGTGGAGCTGATTTATCTACTTCATATATATGTAGATTGTTCACTCAGTAGTAATGCAGGCCAGCAGGGGAACAACATTTTCAAAAGTGGGCTCCTCATCATAGGTGTGGGGGATGGGGTGTTGGGGGGCAAAATCAGTATACATATCACTATAATATCACTTTAATTTATCATGTAAATACATATCTCTCTGAGACCCGGACTTTAGTTTGTTATGCATTTTTAATTTCTTCCAGCTATTTGGGATCAGTTGGACCCCATAAGTATAAAAAACTAAACATTGTCAACAATAATTAAGTCCCAGTGTCCTCACATGAGATGATAATAAAGTCCTGATGTCTTAAAATGAGTACTTCCCAATTAACACCATCTTAGCTTGTAACTGTTTCTAAAATTGGTCAAATTTGTTACCGTATTAAACTACAAATATTATTAATCATAAATAAACAAGTTTCAACCATAAAATGTGATCAGGTTTTGGACCTTGTTCACTTTTGTGTTGGGATTGGCTGCAGACTGATTTGGCAGAGATGGCTGCCATCTTGTTTTTACATGGATTAGCGTACTGTGATCTTACTACCACTAGATGGCACAAAGAAGTGTCCACGAATGACAACAAATCAAATCAAATCAAATCAAATCAGGCTTTAATTGTCATCTCACCAAACATACAACAGTACTGCAGGTCAAACTAAACAGTGTTTGCGGGGGATCGTTCCAACACTAGATTAATAAATACTAATACCATAAAATAGACATCAATAAAATACAATAAAACCATTACTATCCAGCAAGCCTAAAGTCCAGTATGACACTCACACATCACACATCAGCAATGACCACTTTTAGAAAAAGTGACAATTGGCATTTGGCATTTAAAGTGACCATGTGCAGTAGCCTATGTATGGAGAGTCCAGTTTAATTGTACAGCATCCTAACAGTCTGCGGGAGGAAGCTGTTAAGCAGTGTACTGGTCCTAGACTTGATGCTGCAGTAGCGTTTGCCTGATGGTAGCAGTTCAAAGTGCCTGTGGAGAGGGTGTGAATGATCCCTGATGATGTTCAGAACCCTGTTCCTGCATTGGCTCTGAAAACGTTCCTGGACAGAGGGTAGTGGCACTCCAGTGACCCTCTCCACTGTCCTCACTATCCTCTGCAGGGCCTTTTTGTCTGACAGCCAGGTCTGAGTTAAGTAGAATGAAGCGTGAGGTCCGCTAAACCCAAAATGTGATGTCATCACATGAGGACACAGGATCTCAGGAGGATATGACTTGTATTGTCAGTGATGAGAGTCTGTAAGTTAAGTGTTGTACTTGATCCCATTTAAGGGTCAATTATAGACCTTTTCATGGGCCCTCCCTTGGCCTTGGGCCGGGGTCATCTGTACCCTTTGACCTCCCTTGACGGCAGGCCTGGACTAGTGGGATGGGAAAGAAGATTTTCAGAAGTTCTGCTACATGCATGTTCTTTCTTCTCCTTATTTCTTTTTTCTTTTTAAATCTAATTTGTCCTTTTTACCTTTTTTACCTGTTTGAGCCTCAAACAGTGATGTAAAGGAAACCTACAGAGAGGTCAAGAGGGGCCATTACTTGGAGTAATGGTGGAACTAACTACTGTTTTGTTTAATGTGAAAAACTAATTTAGTAACTGTAGCTGTCAAATAATTGTATAGGAGTGAAAAATATCTCCCACTGAAATGTGGTTAAGTAGAGTAAAGTAGCACAATACGGACATTCTCAGGAGAAACACGAGTGCCTCACAGTTTCCCCCACTGACCGTAACAGTGAAGAATGAGCACAAACCACAAAGCAAACCACTATTTTAGCTGCAGCTCTATAACTGCTGGATCATCACCTCACATCTACAGTCATAAGATTTATGGGGTGAATGAAAACTTAAGATAACCCATAAATAGGCACTAAAATGAGGTTTTTCTGTGCAATGAGCTTACTTTACACAACAAGGTGAGAAGCTCAGCTAATTGAGGATTACCTCAGAGTCAATCTGCTGCTGTCTCTGCACTGAGGGAGTCTGCTGTGGTTTCAGCACTTTATAAAGCTGCCCTACAGATGCCTCCGTTTGCCATTACACCAGACAGGAACTACGGAGTAGATCCAGGATACACAGAAAGGACTTTTTCACCCATATGACCTCTGAATCGCTTTGCATCACCCAGGAGGAGATGGAGGAAACTGATGGGGAAGAGAACATCTGGTGGATGTGGGGTAATCCCAGTCCAAATATTCAACTTCACATGTTGTCTTGGAGATAAAGGCCTTTCTGTGCATCCTGATGTACTCAGTGGTGCTTCATCATTTCTCTTCTTGCTTACCGACTGCAGTGTTTTAGTCAAGACCACCTTAACTGTGACCAAGTTCAGAGTGTATTGAGTTCGAGATTAGACCAAGACCAGACCAGTGTGAGTCTCACACTGAGTAACACACTTGCAATAAAATGTGGCTCTTGCAAACCATAGGCAGTCCTCGAACTGATCTGAACTGATCCACATTCCCATAAAAACACCCACAGAAAACAAATGAAGATTCCTTGTTATTCACCTCTTTTTATCGCCATACTGTATGTGTCTATGTATACATGCATCATGAGAAATGTCCTGATAAAACTATCAAAAAGCATTGCAGAGGTGACTTTTATGTGTGGGAATTTTCCTTTGATTTCTATGAGCAAACAAACACAAACACTAACAAGCTGAAATCAACTTAACCATCTTTATTCAACACTCCTTTTGTTTTGCACAGACAATTAAGTGATATCTCTGCAGTTGTGTTCTTGACCGGTCTTGTCTCAGTCTTTGTCTGAGACTGTGAGACGACCAAATGAAAATGCAGTCAATTTCAAGACCAAGACCTGCAAAAAGTGGTCTTAGGAGAGGTTTTGAGACCAAGACTGCTACAACACTGCCTGACCAGGCAGTAAGAAACCAGGTGGAAGGATGAAGTAACATTTATATTGCATGTACAGATTCTCCTTGTTAGAATAAATCAAAACAGCATCTGACACTGAAGTGGACTGACAGTAGGTCCATTTAGTCTAATATATTCTTCTGTTATGGGGGGACACTGTCTGAGGGTTTGTACGGAAACACATTTCCACCAGAGTGGTGAAAAAATAAAGTTAAGTCATTAAAATGAGAAACTTTCTCAAAATAATGAAAAAGTATCTATAAATAATGACATAATGTCATTTCTCTTATTTTGAGATACAATTTTGAGAAAGCTTCTCATTATTCTTAGACACAGAGTCACTATTTTGATATATTAAGTCTATATTTTGAGAGTAATCATTTCAAAATAAGTGAGTCATAATTTTGAGGAAATTTCTCATTGTTTTGTGACACTAGCTAATTGTTTGAGTAAGTATTAGTAGTTTAAGATAATATCTCATTGTTTCAAGAAAGTTTATTATTTTAATGACTTACAAGAGCTTTTTTCATCCCATTGGCAGACTGGGCTTCCATTGGTTTGGACATTTGCAGTGGGAATAAAAACCTGACAACTTTTCACCCATTGCCTCATATTTAGGATTTGTGATTTGGTAAACCTGGCAGAAAAGACAAGTTAGAAATGACAAGCGAGGATCAACCAGATTTGGCTGTTGAATGCAGAATGAATCTGCCGTTTTAACCTCACGATAAAATAGTCTGAATTTTGAAGTTTTCAGTGGGAATGTTCTCGTTATATATGACATGACAAGTGTGAATCTTTTCTGCCTCAGTGAAGTGGTTTGCTTTCCCAAAAAAAAACCTTTTGCGCCATCTAGTGACCACAAGCTGAGTTACATGATGGCATCATTACTAGGCATGACCATCAGAGGGCAGCATTTGTTTCTAATACAACTAACACTGCCCAACTAGCTGTTACTAAGCAGTCCTCTGTCAGAGAATATTTGTGTGAGAAGCAGCTACAAATGCATGCTTCAGGAAAAGAAACGTGTAATGCTCTTATATTCATCATAAACTGCTAATGAGGTACTCTTGAGCAAGGTACTTAACACCCAACTGGTCTGGTGGAGCCGCTCAGTGGTTAACTACAGCAGACTGTGGTGCAAGCTGCAGGTCCTGGGTGTAAATGTGTGCAAACTTTATGTATAAGATGTATGACAACAGCGGAAATGAGAATCTAAAAACAACAGACTAATGGATGCTTTACCTGTGCTGTTTCAGTAAAAATATACTGAAGCATTAATTTCTGAAAATGTTTTTCTTTTATTTCAAATGGTCACAGTATACATATAAAACAAGACAAACAAAACAAAGACTCACTTCTTTAATACCACAAACCTAAAAATGACACATCAAACAGTATTATCAAAAAGCTTCATCAAGGTTAGTGACTTACAGTCTGTCATAGGCAGAGTGGGTTTTCACACCGTGACTATGAACGATTTAACATGACATCATTACTTTTTCAAGTTCGTCTTTCCCTGGATAGCAAGTGACATTTCTTGAGTTTGGCCTTGCAGCTGATATTCATTATTTTTGGTCTCTGGGCTGCGTCAACCATCTGACACTTGTTTTTAATAGCTACAAACCAGTGACTGGCAGAAGTTACTCTTACTGAGTCATCATATGTAAGTGTGTGCGACATGGACATGCATTTCTACATGCCATGACATCTAACATTGCTCCCATTGCACTCTTAAACATTTTTAGTATTGCGTTAAGTACCACACCTACAACCAGGGACACAGTGGGTACAGCTGAAACGTCATGTATCTACATATCTGGCTTTTGTGGTACAGGAAGTAGATGTAATTATTGATAAGCACATCCACAGTGCAGCCACACATGCACATATAGGCTGCTTCGGCTGATTTTTTCATGTGCACATGTGCCCCTAAATATTTTTTACAGTTCACACACACCTATTTTTAGTCGCAAATGCCAGTGAAACGTTCGCACTGTCGAGCCCTGACACCCCTTACAGGCCTTGTTTAGGGCATACACAATGTTTATAAATGAGACCCCAGAACTTCGGTGTGCCCTTGTCCTGTGAGTTTTTTTCAGTTTATATCTTTAATAATAATCTGAACTTTAAATATGACAATTCACTTCAGTTTTCTTCACAGAAATGAACAAAATGCTAAGATATAGGCCTACTGTATATCTTTTTAAAAAGTTTTCTTACAATCCTTAAAATCAAGAAGGCCTAACAACCCCCCCCATCAAGCTTTGGCGACCCTTAATGGGGTTTGGGACCCCCAGGTTGGGAACCAGTGCATTATGATATCAGTGCTTTCAGCCTTATAGTTCAAATAAGGTCATGATGGCTTATTCGCAAAGTGATCACAACACTAACTCCAATCAATGATAAAACTACTTAAACACCACATCACTGTCCATGATATTCAGTGTGGATGGAGAACACATAAGGCAGTTTTGAGAGGTAACCACAAGATACAGTCAGAGGTTTGGACTGCCTTCATTATTCAGGTAGAGATATGTGTGCGTAACAAGTTACAGTGCAGTGTCAGTATACAGCCATCTGATCAGTGCCATTAAAAGACCAGATATTATGGCATTATAAGAAACTATTCCATTCTTTCAACCTGCAATACAGCGTTACTTGTAAAGAAGAACAAGTTCATTCAACCTAGCTCCAATTTGTGAACACTGTATTCAGGAGAGACACGCAGGCTGTGCAGAATGAAGGAGTGCTGCGAGACTCACAGGCTGAAAGTTGTTTTTGCATCTCAGAGTGTTTTGGTCAAGTCAGTGGAGTATTCTGTGGAGGTATCTCTCTGGGTTGTTCTCTCCTCCTCTCCTCAGTCCTGAGCTGGTCCTGACTGGTCTCTCAGAAGTCCCTGCAGGGCCCTGGCTCTCAGTTAGTACCACTGTGGCCCCTGTACCTCTTCCTGTTGTCCCTATGGAAGTGTGTCGGCGAGGCTCTGGACTGCTGTGTGCTCCTGCCTCGGGATCACTGTCATCACCTGGATCCTTTCCCTGGCTGCTTGGTGAGCTTTCCCCGATCCTGAACAATATACATAGTGTTGTTGAAAACAAAATGGATGCCAAAAAGTCACCATGATTAATGGTATGAATGTATATGAAATCATATCACAGTTTTTCTACCTGAGGTGATTGAAGGCTCGTAGCCAGTGTGAGCCCAGTGCCTCTCTCCCGTTAGCCCTCAGCCCTCTCCTGTGACTTCGGGCCCTCAGTCCTATCAAGGCCTGAGCCAGTTCTGCCTCATCTCTGTGACCCCAAACCAGCTGGGCCCTCTGCTCAGCATCCTGATCCCCCGCTGCCCTGAACAGTCTCTGGAGCTGCCACAGATTCACGTTGCTGAAAATGTTCGCCGAGCCAGCCTTTCGGCTCCTCCTCTCAGCCAGCCGCCACAGCGAGGAAGGGCCCGCCACCATGGAGGAAGGAGGGGAGGCGGGTCCGGTATCCATCCGGAGAAACACTGGAGAAGGTGGCATAAACTGGCTCTAATCTGTGGAGGAGTCAGTGAGAGTTTCCACTCATTAGGATGTGATGCATGGTGAGAGATGCTTTAAAGATACAGTGTGTAGGATTTTGTGGTATTTGGCAGTGATGTTGCAGAACTGAAACTTCTTCTTTGTGCCAAGCATGTAGGAGAACTACTGCGACCAGTGCAAAAATGCAAACAGCCTATCTAGAGTCAGTGTTTGATTTGTCCATTCTGGGCTACTGTAGAACAACATGGCGGACTCCATGGAAGAGGTCAGAATGTAGATATAAACGGCTCATTTCGGGGTAACAAAAACACAATGATTCTTATTTTTAGGTGATAATAAACTCACAGATGCATAGTTACGAATACAATGTACAATTTCTGGCAACAGTTGCCCCTTAATCCTACACACTGAACCTTTAAACAAAACAACAGTGTATATGACGTACGTGAGCACAGACTGCGTCACAACACCTATACAAAGCTGTCACAACTGAAACCAGTCAGCTGTGAGTCTTCTGCTCTGATTCTTTAATCCTGCTTTAGAAAGTGAGTGACGAGTGGCGCTTTAAAGAGCCTTAAACTGCAGATGGCAACTTTATCTCTCTTTACTCACATATGGTTTTAAGTGGGACACTGACAGACAGTGTTAGCTGAGTGCCCAAGATCATGACTGCATGTAGGTCAGCCGCATTTCCACTGAAAGGACTTTCTGTCATCTTGACAAAATAATCTGGAGTAAAAGGTCCTCTTGCACTATCAACAGCAGATTATGGAGTTTATGCAAAAGAAAAATCGTCTGATGAAGATTAATTTGTCCATCTTACTATTTACTACATCAGGAATGAAGTTTCACACTCTCTCTTACTTTCCTCAATACACATTTACCATTTAGTGCAGCATATCTCATGTTTTGTCAGCATATATTTCTGGAAAAAAAGGAAAACAATACACTACATCACAAACAATTAAAGAGCAAACATTTATATTTTCCTGTGAATAACTCCAGTACTAAACTTATTAAACAGTAAGTGGGTTATTTGAGGACATGCATGTGGTATTACCCCCTATACTATAATCATTAATGGGATGCAGCTCTTCAAAGACAAACACTTACACTTTCAAAGGCCCTTTATTTGCATAGGACATAGATTACATCTACCAAGCGTCACAGGCCTCTACATTCTCCCCTCCCCCTGGTGTCTTTACAGCCTACTGACTGTTTGCACACCAAACACACTGGTGCGCATTTGCAAAACTATGAATAGCCTACCAACACTCTCTGAAAAGAAGGAAGTATGAAATTATCTTTAAAACATTCGCGGTGTCAGTATAGAAGATGAAATAGGATGCAGAGGCTGAATAACTTACAGTACTGCCTGTGCTGGCTTTCATTACGCTGTGCGTAAAAGGCAGTAAACAGGAGTCCCGTGAGAGTCATGCGATAATAAAAAAACTTCTGCTCACCCAAAGATGAACTGATAGATCCAGTGCGCTTTGCTCTTAAAGCATCTCCCTCTGCATCCCCGTTCCTCTTCAGTAAAAGCTCCTACAATGGCTGAAATGCAGCAGGACAGTACGTTTGTCCAGTTTCACCTGCAACCAATTTCTGTCCTTGAGTCGACCATCCATCACAAAATCAATGTCGTCATCCGACCAATGAGGGGGGAGAGATCTTCTGAGCCCTCCTGTCGGGGCTGGGAAACGGCTTTAAGTCGACCAATCGCGGGGAAGGGTGAGGAGGGGGGGAAGGGTGGCGGGTGGCGGACCCCGCCTCCTGGCCACGTAGGGTGTGTGTGCTGAAATCCATTGACGTCAATGAGCCCGGCTGGCACGAGAAGTGTCTGTCATTTATGCGCGAGGGAAGTAACATGTGAGCAGCATCCTGCGCAGAAACACGCAAACAGTATGACGCATGGGTTTCTTAATAGCGCTGCTCCTTTGTTATGGTATACTTCCAGTATAATAAAAAACATTATATTATATTGTATTATTATGTCCAGGCTATTTATCTGATGCAATATATTTGTTGCTTACCTCAGTTAAATAAACAAAACAATGCTTAAATGTTGGCGTATGGTAGCAAATCTCTGACTGCTGTCTTTGCGCACATCACCACTTCGTCATATTTAACTGACACACGCATGTTTCTCTCCTATTTTTTAAAAGACAGAAGGAAAAAGGTCACACACTCCACGGGAAACCGCACCACAGGGACATACATGAGCAGATGAGCGGACATGGATGACTCCAGCAGTCCAGCAGAGGAGGAGCAGGCTTTGAATTACAGGCCGCCCCCTCTCCATCTCCCAGCCCCCCAACACAGACGCTACATTCAACGGAGGAAACGGAAAAGACGAAACATACAAGTAGGTTTTTCATTTCAAAACCCCGGGGCTGTGGAAAGAACAGAGAGTTCCTTTTTTTATCCCTAAACTTGTCCACTTTTGGCTTCATTGTCAGACCACAAACCCGGCCTTCCACCCCGTTATTTCCACTTTTCGCCCATCTTTTCCCCAGCTGTTTGCAGCTGGCAGAAAGCACCCGCCCTGTTCGGGAAAAAGGGACCGAGAGTGACCGGAGGAGGAGAGAGATGCCACCCCAACCTCCCCAGCCGCAGGTGAGGAAGAATATCCTTAAGTTCCTCAAGAGTTTTTTGGGAATCATCCGGATCCTGCAGATTGTGTTCGGGGCCGGGCTGTGGGTTACCATCGCCGCAAACAAATACGAAAGATCCATCCACTTCGTCCTGTTCGTGGCGGTCCTCTTCTGGCTCCTCACCCTCGCCCTGTTCTTCCTCACCCTGCTGGAAAAGCAGGACCTGGTCCCGCTGCTGGGAGGGGAGCGCTGGTTGTCCACCAACCTGGCGCACGACGTGGCCGCCACCGCGCTCTACCTGCCGGCCATAGGGATCATGATCTACACGACCAAACGCAACTCGTACTGCAACCTGGAGCAGTACGAGCACCCCTGTATGTACAAGGTCTACCTGACGGCCGCCGTGTTCGCCTGCCTGTGCTGCCTGGCTTACCTCCTGTCCCTTATTTATGGAGCGTGCAGGAAGTGTCGGGGAGAACAGACGGTCATCTGATGGGACTGAAGGGGGGGCGATGGCGACAGGGAGGGGGGCATGGGGTCCACAGCAAGATGAGGAATAGTTAACTTCACTGTAATTTAACTCAACAGCTACTCTAATCACAGGTTTGTCTCTTGTCTCCCCACACCAAACTTTCCACTTTGGTGGTGAGGCAGAATCATCCAAACATCACTCTGTGGCCTTATAATCAGTGTTTTGAAGGGTTACTGACATGAAAATATCCAAGCAGCTCCTGGTACAGAGGCCTAGCTACCCAGGGTGGGAGTCTGATTGGAAATTAGGAAGTTTAAAGCATTGCATCCATTTATGAAGACACAAATGACATGTGTTTGCCTCCTAGTATTAGTTAAGTTTGTCTTCCACTAATTCCCTCATTAAGAATCATTATAATATTCCTCTTATAGTGTGGTAGCAGTATATTCAGCGATAAGTTTACAGTACAATGGCCTTAACATTCATTTTGTAGATTTGGTACTGACTAACAGTCCATCCAAAACCTCTAAAAGGATTACTACAGTTGTTTTTACAAGGGATTCTTTTCATTACCTTTTTTTAAAGTATATATTTTTATGTGTGTATGTGTTTTTGTATGACAGCTAACTATACTGAACAGTTACTGAAGTGTAACGGACTAAAAAAAAAAACACTCCTTTTGACCAGCTCTGTTTTTGTTAATCAGTGCCTTCTGTCAGAATGCTGTACACTCAACCAGGTTGTGACAACGACAACCCAACAATATGGATGTGATTGGTGCTACATGTGTATGCTGAACGTAACAAAAAAAAAAAAAAAAAAAAAATCCTTGAGTGTTCATTATGTAAAGCCAAAGAATAAAGAGCAGTAAGTGAGAGCCGGTGAGATGTTTCTTTGGTTATGATCATGTTTCGGGACATTTAAATGAAACGTAAAATGCTTTGTTAATTTTGTTTGAGTGCTTTGAGTTAAATTTAGAGAAAGAGCCGTGTTGCATGTGCAAATTGTGCTTTTGGTGGCTTTTTCCAAATGAAACACAGATTTAGAGGGTCTAGTGACAGAAGCCCTCAGGAACTTCCTGTTGGGAGATAAAAGCCTTGGCCAATCAGCAGGGACCATTTATGTGCTATGCCACATGACCACATAAAAGACTTAGACTTATCTGTGTCTCAAACAGACAATGAGTGAGTAGCTCACACACACACACACACACACACACACACACAATGTGCATGCATGTGCTATGATAGACAGACTGTGTGTGTGTGTTGCATGAGAGTTATCCTACTTTTGGAAACAGCGAGTGCATGTTGTGTGTGTGAGTGTGTGTAATAATCTGGGAAGAGGCTTGTTCTTACCGGAACAGTCTGTTGGGGTTCTGGAGGTGGGCTGACGCTCAGCCAATGAAAATGAAGCCAAGCAGCAGAAGATGATTCAATGTCTCGTCTATTCCAGTCGGCATGCAGTTCTCAAAAACATGCTGCAGACAAGTTGATTAAACAGCACCCTAAGCCACACTGTGACAGCTCTGTTTGGTTGCCGTCATGCAGTCAAAGTACCATTTTACTCTGTGTGGACAGTTGTGCAGTTCTCTGACAAATCTGTGTTCAAACTTTGCACACTTGTTGCTGGCATGGGGCGTGTGTACGATGAAAAAAGGCTGCAGATTACTCACACATAAACACACACTTTCCCTTTTTGGGCATTTCTCACTCCTCTTGCATGCTTCCAACTGTATGCAATGAGTTATTCTTGGAGAGGAGCGTAAGAGATCAAATGTTGCATTGTCAAAGCTCCAGATTCACAATCAAGATCCAAACAAAGGCAACAAAAAATGCAGAGATAAGAACATGAAATCAGTACAATCATGAGAAAAAGAGATGACAAATATCTTTTGCTTGCTTGATGAGAATCTCTGCTGTTACCTGATTCATCGACGACTTATTTAGTGCCTACATTTCAGAGGCAAAGCGACCTTTAAAAGCAAGGGTGATGGTTTCATTTCAACAGGGACACATGAAATGGATGGAGGGTTGCCAGTCCTCAACCTGAACATGCACTAATTTGTGCCTTTTTTGCATCAAGTTTAAAATAATGAGAGGGACGTGTCTCCTGCGTCCCCCCTGAAATCTACACCTTTGCTGAAAAGTGAACATATAAAGACAGCGACAGATCAAACTACAACCAGGGAAACTGTAAAATCCTTTGCCACATTAGAACTTAACTTGGGTATTGTATTTAGTTTGTACTCCCAAGACCAACTGTTAAGTATATGATCCTCTAGGTTAGCCGCCTTTTTGTGCAGTGATGACAGGACAAATACAGTGTGTGTGTGTGCGAGTGTGTGTGTGTGTGTTGAGAGCAAGGTGACATCTGTGGTCAAAGTTAAGGAGTGGAAGGGTTAATGTTAACCAGCTGCAGGATATAAATCTAGCACTTCTAAAGGAGGAAGGGAGTCGCCCCCCTCGCCTCAAACTCCCATCCACCGTCTCCCCCTCTGAGATTTCCACAGAAGTGTCGTCCTGTCCACGTGTCGGGTGCCTGTGGAAACACACTGCTGTGTATACAACCAAATGGAGACAATACACAACAGCCCAGTGTGCTCCATAAACAAAGCACCGAATCCAGAGTTCAGTTCGATATTGAAAGTAACCATGGTGAATCATTTGAGTTTTGGATGACTCACAACTATAGCGTATGCTGACAATTAAGGCCAGAAAAGGATTCTCCACATTTACCCTGAAAGTCTCTTTGAGCTTACCACATTAACAGGCGCTGTATTATTACACAGCCCACAGTTTATAGATGTCAATCGTGTTCAGATTTGTCAGTTTAGTGTATGAGCCCATTTTGAATTTAATCCTCAGCCATCACATCCAAGTCCAAACAAGAAACCCATGTAATCACAGGTAATAGCATGAATTTGGACTATGTTACCTCCTGACATTATTACAAGGGTGTGGGCACCACAAGGGTGAGGTTGCTGTGTTTTTTTTCCAGCTCCATAGACAGTAAAGAAAACGTAAGGACGTATAGAGCCAGCCACTTCTCTGCAGTGCCAACTGTGTGATATTTTTTTTGGCTACTCAACCAAAGAGACATTTCCTGTACGCACATTCCCACCCGTCTGCAAGCGACCAAGCGTCCAATAGTCGTCATAACCCCTCCAAATGGTAACTCTGGCCCTCCCTGAAAGCACAGCATCACGCACACTGTTGCCATGGACTAATGTCAATTCACTGAAAAACTGATACAGAGTTTGCTGCCAGAAAATCTAAAAGTTAGTTCTTAAGTCCAAATGGATAACAATGACTGTGACTCATGGGTGCAAATAAATCACTGGCGGGATTATTGAAGAGAAATGGCAGGAATGTTTTCTGTCCTTCTTTCGAAAGACTCCAAAAAACTTTAATTCAAAGTGCATCGTTTTCTTGCTTCTCGCCTCCCAGCATAGTGGTGTACCAGCTCAGTCACCAGAGGAAGATGTTGGCATTGTATCTTTTTGCAAACCATTATGTTACATTTGTGCATTTCATATCAACATGTTTTAAATGAGGAAGTATATGAGCTGATTTTGTCACCATGAAGAGGAGTCCTAACCTATATAGGCCATACCTCTGCCAAGCTGCTGACCACTGCTCGAAGACAAAACAACAGTTTAGTGAGTCATTGCTGTGTTTCCAGCAGCTTTTAAGGTACAAAATGTTGGTGTTTTGTAGCAACCCATCTGTGTTCTTTCTAGCAGGGATAGTGCCACAAAATGCATTTGTTTTTTACAGAAACTTTACAGTGTTTCCTGCTGTGACTGTGCTCCCAAACCACGTATTTAATCCAAGATAGGATCTTTTCCTTACCATAACCTAGTGTTTTTTGTGCCTAAACCTCACCACATATTAACCACAGTGTTGTTGAAATGTAAAGGTTTAACATGTCCGCTACAACATAACATGCAAATGTAACATAACTGTGGTTTGCAAAGACGTACAATGCCAAAAAAAATTTCTGGCGGCTGGTTTGGGCGTACAGGGCACAATGTGAGGTGCAGAAAAGCTTCAGTGGAAGACAACACGTCTTTTTCAGATTTTTTTCCCAGGCCAAATGATTGCAATCTAAGATAAAAAAGTAAACATCTTGTGATAAACACCACTTTGTTGCTTTAAGATTCATCGTTATTTTAAGAAGAACTGATCTGATTCTGTCATAACAACACACGCATAACACACTACATATTCACTAAGCAAAAAAGGTTCCTGATCTTAAAGGGTAGCTTAATCTTTTATCAAGATCTGTTCCCTACAAGATCTGTTCCCTATAAAAAGTGGTCCCAATGTCAGTGACGAGGGACAAAATCCAAAGTCCTTGTGTGCAAAAATGCTTTCTTAAATTCAACCAAAGCTATATAAGGCTTCACACTCTATATTAGTCAAATAAGTAGGTGCTTTCCAAAGAAAAGGGCTTTTTGTACAAAACTTCCTCTTTTTGTTACCAGAACTCAGCAGTGAATCATTTTCTGGAGATACTCAAGTTAATTTTACACTAAAAACATTTAGAATATATGCGCTTGGTCTGAGTAACTGCTAAAACTTCGAAATGATCTCTTCATAGTCAGATTGGACACAAGGAAGTACTTTTAATTGACCAAAAACCCTTTCAATGCATATATGGTAAAGTCAGTATTATTTCAAGACAGACTTGAAAAATTACCTGGCTACCCATTAAATATTTCTGGATTTTGTGTATGTTCAGTATTATTCAGCTGTCAATTTTAATGTCTAAAAATACCCACAAAGAAGGACTATAACCAGCCCTTTGTACTGTGCACAGTCCTGACTTTCTAACAGACCAGAGCCTGGTGTTACACAGTGTTCACTGAACCAGGTACATTTGGCTGGTTTAAACCCACTCAGCAGATCTCCAGGCTCTTTCTTACCCACCCAAATTCTGGGTGGGTAATTCCCAGTGGATGTGCTCTATCTTATCCGAGCATGTCTACCTTTTTTTTTCCCTGCTGACAGTACTCGTCTCCTGTCTCACATGTACGCACACGAAACATGAAAACACAGACACATGCACACAGCAGCGCCCTGTTAACCACACTTTCATCAGATACTGCTGAGATGCACATTCCACTGCAGAGGAGAGGGAGAGATGGGAAAACAGATGGAGACAGACAGGACAAGTGAATAAGCAGAAAAAAAGAAGCAAGTAGCGATTTGCAAATACAGTAGTGGAAAAAAGTTTTCGGACACCCCATGAATTTGTGAAATATTGCATTAAGAATCACTCTTAGGTCTTCAAGTGCAATTTCTTTTAGTACAGTCACAGCCAAAATACTAAATAAATCCTAAAAAAGCCATTAAAAACTTAAAATTGATTGGTTCCATAAAAATACATAAGAAATTTTGAGTATTGGGTCATTTTGGTACCAGTGATGAAGGTCGTTCTTTTTATTAAAAGACACAATTTTTGTTGCCAAGCTTCGTGTCTACATAAAGCCAGCACATTTGAAAGTTCTTCAGACACAAAAATGGCTAAAACAAGGAACCTAATGCAGGAAACACGCCTGAAGATAAAGATTCTCAGCCAGGAAGGGTACAGCTGCCGCCAGATAGCCAGGAAGTGCAGATGCAGTCCTTCAGCAGTTGGATACACTCTGCAGAAATACAGACGAACCAACAGCTTGGAAGACAAACCAAGATCTGGGCGTCCAAGGGTTTCTTCAGCACGAAATGACCGCATCCTGATCCGCATGTGCAGGCAAAACTGCCGAATGACATCACAGGAGCTTCAGCAGCAGTTGTCAAACCAAACTGGTGTCCAGTGTTCCACCTGCACTGTACGTGGCCGACTTTTAGATCATGGCTTCAGTTCCTACAAGGCTA